TTTTTTTTTTTTTTTTTTTTTTTTTTTTTTTTTTTTTTTTTTTTTTTTTTTTTTTTTTTTTTTTTTTTTTTTTTTTTTTTTTTTTTTTCTGAATGAAAATTAGGTCAGATGAATGTATCTTTAAGCCAGTAAGACAGACTCTGCAGGTTCTTTGTTTCAGGAAGAGTTTTAAAATAATTCTTAAGGGCAAATTACTCCATTAGGTTGGCACAGTAGTGTCTTTTACATCCAAACCTTGGGGCTGTATACGTAATATCAGCATGCACCTGTCCGACTGGATTAAGCGGGTCAAAGCTTGCAAAAAGGCTCCTTTCCTTTTTAGCAGGAGGATGTACTGTATAGGGTCAGCTGACTGATGTTGGTGAAAACTAAACTACAGGATAAGTATTAGTTTTCATCTTTTATTTTCATCTTTATTTTATTTCATTTTTTTCATATTTCATTATTTTAAACAGTGTGCTCTTACTACAGAGATATGTAGTAACTAGTGCTGATAAAAACATGAGGGTAGAATGCTACACTTTGAGATGCTGGGAAAGATTGTCTCTTTCATTATCAGCAAGATCAGACAAAACTGATAACAAATCTGTATCTGTTTTTGTCTTAGGATACTGTCTGAACTGCAGTTTCTCTGCACCCCATACTTGCCTTCCCCACAACAGCTTTCTTTGCAGCAAAGGCAATAATCGATTTTGAATATGGTTTTGCTCCTATTGCCATCAAATACTACTGTAGGTCATGCTATGACTAAGAAACCTGGCCCCGTTACTGATTTTTTATGGGATTCTTTTATTTGTTTCCATTCCTTATTAGCACATTTCTGCTTGTGTGAGGAAAAAAACACTTGGAATGATTTTCCTGGAGTCCTTACTGAATTCCTCTTCTGATGGGGAGCCAATAGGTGTGAACACAGGAACTGGGTTCCAACTAATGGGACGACGTCACCCATAGGATGCTGGATAGCCAGTAATGAATGCAGAACTTTCAGATTGAAAGAGAGAGAGTTGGTAGTGAGCAGGCATGAGGATTTCACTATCATCTCACAAAAATATTTGTGTTTAAAGAGTGGGCATAGCCCTGTGGAGCCTGGCAGCTACTGCTTGTCAGTGGGTAATCAACTTGAAATGGACAAGTCCACTGAATACTTTCTGTACACTGCATTATGAGGTTAAACCTTGATATCTATAAACACCATGCCTATTTTAATCATGTCCTTATTTCTTTTAGAGTGGAAGTGGAGTGTGCATGGGATCATCCCACTGCAAGATCTGGATTGCTGTGGTAAAAGTGTAGTGCCAGTGTTCTCTGTGCTACGTGTACCTTCTATGTACAGGATATGAAAGCAGCAGATTCCTATTACCTATGGCATTTATGCCTCTCTATCTAAGCAGAGTCTCTCTGTACCCTACTAACACACTACCCTAATGTTTGTGTGTTTTATTCTTGTAAGTCTTGCTGCTACTTCACTTACCATTACTTTTAGGAAAGCAGAACTCTCTCTTTCGTAACCTGCTATGTCCTTTCACTTTCCCTCCCTCCCTTTTGATTTTGACTTTGTCTCCCACCAGAAGCAATGGTGGGAGATGGAGGGATTTCCTGTTGAAACTGCTGTTTCTCCAGAGTGGCAGTTCTGCAAAGTTCTAGTTCTCCAGATTCTTGTCAGTTTAGCATCAAGAGTTGCTAACAGGGACAACATCAGCACCTGTGAAGGAAAGAAAAACAAGCCTTGTCTGGTTTAGAGCATCTGAAGATACAACGCACTGTTCAGTTGCTTATGGTCACCCTTCTCCTTTTTTTTCCAGGACACAGTTTTGTGCATGGTGGTGGAAGTAAATGGGATGAACCCACTTTTTTGCCTTATTTTATGTGGCAGATAGAGTGGGTCAAACTCTGAATGACACACAAATTCTCATCAAATTAGCACTGCTGTTCAGTCTCACTGGCTGACTGAGTGTTGGCAGCTTATGTGACTCTGCTTTACAGAAAGACAGAGAGAGAAGGGGGGAGTGTTTGTACAACTGACCATGTCATGTGCTCTTGTTCTACAGTAGTAGGTACTGAAATTTGCATCCCTGCCTGGAGTATTTTAGGTGTCTTTTCTGACTGAAAGAATCTCTGTAGAGTGAGCTTTGTCCTAAAGCTATAAATGAGTCTCCAGAATTAGAGACTAAAATTTACTTTCTAAGCTGTGTGATGTATCTGAGCCCATAGTATATGGAGTTTTTTGGGTTTTATCATTTTGTATGCCTGACCCTGCTACTGTGGGAAGTTGTGATTGACCAGCAGTTTGCATTGCTAAGCCTGTCATACTCTACATTAATGGTGACTTTTGTAGATTGCCCAGACAGGGAGCATCTGAGCGCCCTTAGGTAGATGTTTAAAGACTGTCATGGGGGCTGAGCAGCTGAGACTGTGAGAGTATGAGAGTATGTTTCCTGCACAAATTTATTTGAAGGTTCATTGTTAGCATTTTAATTCCTATAAAATCTGGGTTTTTTAACCCAGACACCATTTCCGTGGTTATAGAGTTTGCTGCAAGGAGAAAGATTAGGCAGTTCTCCTCTAAGAAGCTGGGACCTTGCCATTGTACATTTCTGCATCTCCAGCCGACCACAGGGCAGGAACAGGGGTAAAATGGTCTTAGTGGAGTTTTGTTCTTTCTAAGAAGCGATTTCTTTGGTTGTACCATTGAAGCTGTTTTATCAATTACTATGATGCTTCAGATAGGTCAGCACGTTTGTCTTCTACTAAGACAGTAACAGAGATTTCCACTTTGTTTTCTTTTATTTTCTATGGCCAGGCCTGTATATAAACTGACTGTTTTTATTTAACTTTCACACTTTATTTATCTTTGCAAGACTGGAAAGTCAGCTTTTCTACTGTATTCTAGTCCCTCCAGGCTTCCTGTTTTCTCTGACTCCCTTTGAATTTTATTTTCTTTCTTTCTCAGCACACCTTAGCAGACTGACCTCAGTGCATGTTCTCTGCATGACATACAATAATACAAAGGCCTCTATTTTTAAATTAAAGAAAGTTCTCTGTTAACGAGACTATTCTGCAGCATTGCAACTGGCTGGCTTATCCTCACAGACATACAGACTCATTCCTGCATCAAGCTAATAGGTGCATGGCATTGGAAATATTCACCAAGCCATGACAAATACATGTTCTAGAACCGCTTTAATAACCTGAATGTCCAACTTAAAGCAGGCAGCTTTTCTGGAGCTGTTCCACAATCTCATGGGTACAGTGGTTAAAAATCTTATTTCTATCCATGGCTAGAACATCTTAACCATTTTTTGGAATGTCCTCACTTCTCTCACCATCATCTTCCAGTGTATTTCTAAAAGGTAATGTATCCTCTTTCGTAAGTTCTCTTTTCTAGCTATGCCTTGCATCAGATCTGGTTTGAATTCACCTTTCTTGAAGAATCTTAACAATACTATAGGCAGAATTCCAAGTGAGATCTCTTCAATACTCTGGTGTCACTCATCTTTTCAAACCTCTCCAGGAGATCCTGCTAATATATCTCTGAATTAAGTCTTCCCTTCTGCAAAATCCACTGTTCCCTCCATGTTTAATCTGCATGGCTTCTGTTTTATTTCTTGTGTATAATCCTCTGAGGTCATACTTAAGAGTAATAATAAATTGGGATTCATTTGACTGTCTCTGTCCCAAGACTTTTATAGAGATGAGGATTACTCCTGCTTTCCTTTGGATGGCGTGAGATCTGCTTAATTTCATGTCTCTTCATATGAGCAGCTAATGATCATTTTTAAGAGTAAGATCTAAGTGCATCCTTACTTTTATACTTTGAAGTTGACTGACTAGGAAATGAAGTATAGTTGCAGTAAAGGTGCTAAAACTGTGCAGATTTGTTAAAATAATAAATAATCAAAGACAATAAATAATGACTGAGGAGGAAACAAATTACACTGCTCACAGTACATATAATCCAATGTATTTCACAACTGTCAGTAATAAATGTCAATCTTTATTAAGGAACATACACAAAATGGTTCTTTAAATCCTAGGTGTGCAACTGAGAAACACACGTTTCTTTGTTATTTTACTTCAGGGATCTATATGTGCTCAAAATGAGTCATATTAAATGACTATTGGTGAATTGCAACTAACCAAGCAACGTTTCTGTCCTTAAACAAGAATTAGATTGGTGAGTTTTTGGTATTAATAACTACGGGATAAAAATCTACTCTTGCACTATTTCTTTATGATTTCTGAAAGTCATACTTTCCTGACTTACCATTACATCCATTTGTGTTTCTATTGTAGCCCAAAAGAGACTGAAAATTGCCATAAAACAGCAGCTAAGAAAGCTTTAAGGATGAGAAACTTCTGAAGAGCATTCTATAGTTTGAGAGGGAGATTAATCAGTGGAGCTATAGTCTGCCATCTGTGACACGTGGAAACCAGCTCAGTATGGCCACTAGGGAGGCAGGCCCTGGATCTGCTTTGCACCAGAAGGAAGGAGGGGTGGAACAATGTTACAGGACAGAGTAGTAAAAGAAATCCCTCCTTACCCTCTAAGATACCCTGACAGAACAGGTACAAGACCCTTATTACAAAATCTTGTCAAGGTCAGAGAGATCAACCTCTTGCAATAAAACTTGCATTAAGACATGTACCAAGAAGAAACAATGGTTATGGGCACTGGTGACTGGAAGCACTCATTTGCAGACCAGACCCTCTTTTCAGAGAAGTTTGCTGCTTCCCTGGGGCCCAAATTAGAAACGTCACCACAAGACTGAACAGCCTAATACAACCTGCATGGTATTATTCACTCCTGCTCTTTCACATGGGTACAAATGGTGTTACGATAAAAAGAGGCCTGGAAAGAATGCTAAAAAATTCCAGAGCACAGGTAATGTTTTCCTCAGTCCTGCCAGTAATGGAAGGAGACTTTGGAAGAAACAGGTGAGCCCAGAATATCAATACCTGACTCCAGGACTAGAGCCTTCACCGTAACTTTGGGTTTTTAAACCATGGAGGAACATTCAAGAGGCAAGCTATGCTGGGGCCTGGTGGGATCCACCTGTCCTGATGGGGAGATGTGTCTCTGGGCATAAGCTGGGGAGATGGATCAAGAGAGCTTTAAAGTAGAATTGATGGGGGTGAAGGAAATAACAACGAGATTAAAGCAGGGAAGCTGAAGGTTGGCATGGCATCATCTGAGGGTGGCAATGCTAGCGGAAACAGTCCATGGGAACACTCTGGAAATCTTGTGTTCATGACTTAGGAGTCCACAAGTACTGGTCAGTCTTTAAGAACCACATTGCACTGTGTCATATGTAAAGCAAGTGGGGCAGAAGACCACCCTGTCTGAACAGGGAACTACTCATGGGCCTCAAAAGGAATAAGAAATTGTGTGATCTCTGGAAGTGGGGTCAGGCTTTGCTGGAACAGTATAGGACTTTGGTTTGTGTAAGCAGGGAGAAGACACAAAAGGCCAAAGGTCATTTAGAGTTGAAAATGGCCAGTTCAGATAACAAGAAAGGCTTTTTCAAGTACATTGATTACAAGAGGAGGTCTAAAGAAAACAATGCTTGGTGAAGATTGTCATCTGATTAATAGGGATAAAGAAAAAGCAGAGGCATTCAGTGCCTTTTTTCCTTGGTATTTAATAATACTGATAGACCTTGGACTGCCTGAGTTAGAGGAGCATGAGTTCCACGAGTGTGGAATCAGAGACTTTCCATTTGAGAACAATAAAATTGTAGGGGACCAGATGTATCAGCTTACTAACCATGGCTTTCGAAACATGAATTCCATAGGGTCTGAAAAAGTTCATCCTGGAGTACCGAAGGAGCTAGTGGATGTTATAGCAGGACCCCTCTTGGTCTGCCAAAAGTCTTGAGAGGCTGGGAAGTTTGACTAGAACCCACCTGATGTTATTTCCATAAAAAGGGCCTGAGAGAAGGCCTGGGGAACTATAGACCTGTTAGTGTAACATCAGTTCTTAAAAGAATTATGGAGAACATTATACTGCATACTACTGAAAGGCATTTAAAGAATAATGCAATCAACAGGCAGATCGCCCACCTAGTGGATTAAGGGAAGGCCATGGATGTATCATTTCTTGATTATAGTAAGGCTTTTTATGGATGTTCATGGTGCACTGGCTGAGGAATCAGCTGAAAGGCAGAGCTCAAAGGGTTGTACTGAATGGCTGCAGGTGATTGCTGCGGGCGATCACCAGGCCTGTCCCACAGAGTTCAGTTCTAGTTCCAGTTCTCTTCAATATATTTATCAACAATTGGGATGCAGGAGCGGAATGTACTACTAGCAAGTTTGCTGATGAGACCAAATTGGAATCTGCTGTTGACTCCCTCTTGGCCTTGTAGAGGAATCCAGATAGAGACTGGAGCATTGAGCTATGATTACCAGGATGAAATTTAACAAGTCACTTTGACGGATTGTGCACCTAGCATGGAGTAATGCTGGGCACAAGCATAAATTAAGAAAGGAGTGGTTGGAGATCAGCCCTGCGGAAAGCAATCTGGGGGTGTTGGCTGCCAGCAGGCTCAGTGTGAGTCAACAGTGTGCCCAGGCAACCAAGGTGGCAAACTGCAACCTGGGGTTTGTGCATCAAACACAACATCACCATCTGGCCAGAAGAGTGGGTATCCCACTATGTTCAGCAATAGTGTGGCCTCAGCTGGAGTTCTACGTGCAGGTCTGTTCCCCACAATTTAAGAAGGTTGTGAAAGTCCTTGAATGCATCCAAGGATTCTGCCTTTGTTGCCAGAGGAAGGCAACAAAGCTGGTGAGAGTGCTGGAAGGAATGTACTCTTAGGAGCGGCTGAGGACTTCGGGCTTGTCTAGTTTGGAGAAAAGGAGGCTGAGGTGCCTCATTGCTCTCTACAGCTTCCTGAGGAGTGGAAGAGGAGAGGGAGGTGCTGAGCTCTGGTCTCTGGTATTCAGTGACAGGACATTTGGGAATAGTTCAAAGCTGTGCCAGGGGAGATTTAGATTGTACAGGCTTCCTAGAGGAATGGTTGATGCCCCCAGCCTGTCAGTGTTTAAGAAGCATTTGGAAAATCCCTAATAACATGCTTTAACTTGATCAGCCCTGAATTGGTCAGGCAATTGGATGGGATGACCATTGCAACTGAAACAGTCTAGTCTACTCTACTCTGTATACTAGTGCTAAGTCGACAAATCAGTTCTGTGAAACCCTCTTTTACCTTCAGGCCCGGAAAGACCAAGCATAATTTTGGATAAAAGTAGCATCTCCTGGAACTACTTAATTTGTAAAAATTTTCATTTTTTTTATATGAAAACCAACAAATTTTCTAGTCCTTTGACTCAAAGAAAAAATTAGAAGGCAAACAAAACCAAGTAACATACAATTTGTCATTTCATTAATTTTAAGGAAATAGACTGCTATTTGATTAATGTTATACTTTCAAAACCTTATTCTTAACCTCTTTTATTTTCAGCTTTAGTTAGGAAATCATTGTTTCCAGTAGTATTTATTATTTTTAGGAATATTATTAGTGGGCCTGATGCTTATTACAGCTGGCTTTTGTAACATTAACGTTGGGTGTCAGATTATTTTGTTGGCACAATTTGAGGAAGGAATAAATAAAGCGTATTAGGTGCTTTATTACAAATTTTACTTCATAATCAAATACCTCTGCTAGCAGATATATCATATGGAGAAGCAGTATTGGGCACAGCAGCACAAGTTAGGACTAGCCAATATAAGACGCTTTAAATTGTCCACTTTCAATTGTCCACTAGATGTGCCTCATTGTACTCCGCAGCTCAGTTGGTTAGAGCACGGTGCTATTAACACCAAGGATGTGGGTTTGATGCCCATATGGGCCAACTTGAAGAGCTGGACTCGATCCATGTGGGTCCTTTGCAACACAGAATATACTATAAAACCTTTGAATTACAACATAAAAGTACTGCGAGTTTGTACTTTTGCCTTCTGGAAGTGGCAGCTGCAGGACATGGGACCAGCCCTCACTGCAGAGCCTGCAGCCACAAGGGTTGATTTAAGGTGAAGACCTCATCTGGGAAAGGAGCAATGCTCAGTGACTGGCTGGTCAAAAGGTAGGCTTTTCCCTTAACACTGTAGATTTTTCAGTTTCCTAGAGATGATGAAATGTATAAGAATTAAGAATAGTGTGAAAACCACAAAGTAGTCCTGCCTACATGTCCAAGATAAGCATCAAAACCCATTTTGGCCCTCAGGTTACTTAGTTTTTATCACTGTTTGTGAATATTTTTATTATTATTGTCACTGATACTCTTGGTAGAGTAACACTAAAAAGAAAAACGGGGTTGGGGGAAAGCCAGTCTTCCTAGTATTACAAATGCAGTTACAAATATACTGATGTTTTTAGGATACTGATAGCATCTGGTCACCAGGAGGATAACATGGTAGCTCACATAAAATCAGCATATGTAACCACAGTGCGCAGTTTAGGAAATGCTGTCTTTCAGCTTGCAGAAATTGCAACTGGCCTAATAGTAAGTGCAGTGTTTTAATCAAATCATGTGATGGCCTCCTACATTAGCATTTTCAGAACACTATAAAACTCTGCAGCCAAGGTGTGAGTGCTGTCCTTCAGGATATAGTTCTTGAAAAAGGCTGGCTTCTCTTTTTATGCAGGCTTTTTTGTCAGCGAGGTTGTGGGCCCCCGTGTATTGAAACTGCTACAACTTCTGTTCTGTCATGGGCATGCCAACCTGTGTGTTTTAAATCACTGGGATTATTGAGGTGTGCCTTCCTTATATTTCTGCCAAATTCTGTGTGTCACATCTAACACATGATGCTTCTCTCTGCCTTCAGGGACGCTGTGTCCTGCCCTTTTTTGGGTGTGGGCTCCTCCCCTTGAATCTAGAAAAGACTTAAAAGCAGGTGGGTGCGCAGCTTCTTGCTGTGCAGCACAGAGAAGTGGATCCACCGTCAAGCTGTCATTTCCTGGCACTGGTGGTCTTCCCAACTGTTCAGGTATGTGCATCTAAAACAAGCTGGATGGCGATGGGATAAATCTGTATGAGTATAAAGTGGGAAAGGTTCTCAGTGACTGGTGATGTATCTTTTAATAATCTAAGGACTTTGACTAAATGTGTTTCTTTATGATGCTTGAAATTTTTATATTGCCTTTGGAATAGTTTAAGAGATTTTTCTTTTGCTATTTGACCGATAAGTTAAAACACTGGCTTCAAAAATGTTTGAGGCTTTGTGCCTTTCTGTGGAAGATATGACTGTGTAAATGGAACTAACTGAAGCTAAATTAATCCTTCAGAGGGATTATGTCTTCTGCAGCACTGGTTCCACTATCCTTCAGCTACTTTTAAGCTCACATTGTCTGTCCCATGATTTTTGATACACTTTTTGTTTTCTTTTACTTGCTCTTCCTATTGTTTGGTTGAAGTGATTCTTAACAAATGTTGACAAACTTTTCAGTTTAAACACGTGAAAATCAAGCAACTGCCACAGCAACATTTGCATCAATTTTCTTCTGCCTTGCTTGTGTTATGTAGTTTTAAGGTCTGAATTGCTCCTTATTCTGGTCTGGTTGCATTTCTCAAACCTTTTGTACAGAGAAAAAAGACTGCATGTGGGCACATGTGTATTTTATGGTGACTAAGCTGCCTTCAAGGCAAGAAATAACACCCTTAATGATTTGCAGCATTTCAGAAATGGGATTTTGCTGCTTGTTATCCCCTAATTATTATTTTTTTAAAAATCTTTTTAGCAAAAAATGGGAATTTATCCTAATGGTTGCATTTCATAAAAATTATTTATCGCTATATTTCTAATGAATTTATCTTCACCAGGTATTTCTGTTGCACATGCTGTTCCCAGGTTCTTTTGAAAGAACATGAAAATTGGGAAAGAAGTATAGAAATGGTTGAGAATTGCTTTTTTTCTTCAGACAGTAAAGATAGTATCTGATGTTAAGAGACAATGAACTTGGCATCTTCAATGCTATTTTCCCTTCTTAGGAAGAAGGAGGGAGTACTTATAAATCTTGCTTCATCTGTAACTTCTATGAGTCACTAAATGAAAATATTAAAGCTGCTGTGATAAAGCTGAATGTGGCTCTGTTCACTCCACCATCTTAAAAGAAAATAACAAAATTAGTAGTCCAGAGATGGGCAGTGATGACGGTCAAATGAGGAATACCTCAGCAAGCCAGGTCTTTTCATTCAGGTGACGGAAGGCAGAGACAGAATGACAGAAAACCTTAAAAATGCTCAGTGGCAAACCCTGAGGGATGCACTATTCACTCTCTTTACTATTCTACCCTGTGTCCATCAAATTAATTTGTAGGAGTCAGATTAAAAACAAAAAAGGACATCATTCTTTATGCATCAGATAGTAGAGCTGTGCAACTCATTGCAAGAGGACATTGTAGATGCCAACTGGTCACAGGAATTTAAGGGGAAACAGGAAAAATACACGAAAGAGTAGTTTAGAGAATCATAAAATCAACCGTGTTGGAAAAGACATCCGAGACCATCAAGTCCAACCCTTGATCCAACACCAGAACACAGGAAACACTCATAGATGTTTCCTGTATATAAAGAAATCCTGCTGTTCCCTGGAGATCGATTTTACCACTATGGTAGAGAGAACATTTAACTAGGTGGTGCTTATATTTTCTATTTCCTTAGATAGACCTTATATTTTTTTGTATATTCTAAAAGCCTAGTTTTTTAAATGGTCATCCTGAAATCCTGTAGCACTCTATTTTGCTGCTTGTAATGTTTGTTCGGGTTGGTGACTGAGAAAAAATTAACCTAGGGTATTGCCTAATACTATTCCATCATCATTTGTAAAAGCAGAACTGGTTTACACTGTTGCAGGAGGATTACCTCATATCTAACAAATTGTTGTTGTAACACAAGCAGTTCTGATGATGGAAAATATTGCAAGCCGTTGTTTAAATGTACACTTAATTCAATCTAATTTTCCTATAACTGAAGAGTCCTGTTCTAGAATGAAATGTTATTTCTGTTTGTTTGTTTGGTTTGGTTTGTGGGGGTTGTTTGTTTGTTTGTTTTTAGGAATGGAGAAGCTGATTGTTTGTGTGGACAAAAGGCCAAATGCTCTCTGTAGACTGATTTGTTTTCCATGGGCTGGAGGTGGCACTTCTCTACTTGCTCAGTGGGGCAAACTATTAAGCAACTCAATTGAAGGTTTGTCATTTTTGTAGTTAAAGCACAAGTTAAGAAAGTCTGAAATACACAGTAGACCAATTTTTTGAATGGAAAATAATATTCTTGAGATCACTGCAATCTTTGTCCAATGGGTCTTCTCCAGAAAGAATGGAACTAGCATTCATTAGGAACTAGCATTTCCATCAGGGTGCATTTTCTGTACCACTTTGCATCAAGCTATATTTGGCTAGGTTTAAAGGTTATATCCTCAGAGCTAAGTTTCACAAGACTATAGTATGGTTGACTGCTTCAGAACCTATTGGTATGATTCACAAACATAATACACGTGCCAGGGTAACGGTGAAGATATGAGAACCACTTTTAATGTTGAGAGGCTGCACAGACTATCTGTTATCCATCGTTTGCACTTCTTGTATCAAAACTGAAGTTCAAAGTATGAATTTATAACAGTGAAATGGCATTAAGTTACATTACAAAGTACTTCTCATTGCTCCCAAGCTATATCAGCACTAAAAAAAGATCCATTGCTTAAACTATTTGAAGAGAGACCAAGGCCATTTTACAGACCTTCCACAAAGAAAAAAATAATTTCATATTTATGAGCATTGCCATTGCAGTTGTACCAGTCCTCTAAATGCTCATATGCTTTCTGGTAAGCAGTTGCATGAGTCACATTAAATTTTCCTTGAAACAGAAAAATGAAAAAAAGAAAGAAAGAAAAGAGTTTTTTTTTTCCCACTGGAACTACCTCCAACAAAGTTACTAAGAAAATAGCCTAGGAGCAACTGCAGACACAGATGAATAACATCAGGGTGTAGCATGGTTTCTCACAGATGGTTTCTGCAGAAAGAAAGTACAGAAGATGCAAACATTTCTGCACTGCTAGTATCGTGTTAGGTAGTGGTTTATTCTATTCTAAAATACTTTGTCTCTGACCCATTACTTCCATGTGAGTTCAGCAGTATGCATTATGTCAAGACGAGGTCAGAAAATCAACATTTTTTTCTGGTCTATTCATTCCTTACTTTCATTAAACAGCAAGAGGAAAATTCCCAATTTTGAAAGGAATATAATAAAAGTATGTAAAATGTCCTTCCATATAAATCTAAATAGATATAAATGTCCATCAATTTGTACTATGATTACACATTTTACTATGTGTAATGCTTAAGAGCCAACAGAGAAGAAAACAGAGACTGTACAATGCTACTACAGTTTAACTTTCTAATGCTGCCCTTGGAAGGATGTATTTTACACACCCCTTAACTTACTATTATTGAAATTAATGATTTTGTGGTTGTTATTAACCGTAATAGTAATAAAGTTGCTTTCAAACCTCAGCTGAAATCAAGACCTTGTGGATTCTGAGCCAAGGCACTTATCAATCAGATCAACTGGAGAGTAAATCGGATCAAGTTGTGAGTAAAGGAAGGGATGGAAACCTAATCTCTCATAGGATTAAAACACAGTAGTAGCAATAGCAAAAACATAATATCAACTGTACGAAGGATTAATTGAAATAATCCGTATATTCTGCATAATGATTAAAAAACTTAATTAAAATTATTTTACTGTATCTATTTGAAATAACTAGAATCCTTTTCTCTTGCTTCCTTCACCTCTTCTGCAGTGTTCTGCATAAGGTATCCTGGAAGAGAAACTCGTCTTAATGAGCCTTTTGCGAAAGACATGACAAGCATGGTTAACGAGATTACAAGTGTTTTGTTAAAAGAATTGCAAGAAAAACCATTTGCATTCTTTGGTCACAGGTAAAAATATATACAATTGTAGATGCCCTGGTGAAGGAGCTTCTGTCTCTGAACTCATTGAGTAGACAGTTTCTTGTTTTTATTTGCAAAAATTTTAGGAAAATGCGCTTCTGCAAAGATTTTTTGTCAAGTCGTCTTAAAACATGCTGTTGCTGTCAAAGACTCTGGTTATTTATTTATTGCTTCAGGCACAACATCTGAACATGTTGTGTTTCTGATAAATTATAATTTATTATGGCATTTATTTTTCATATTTGTGTCTGTTCTTGATCTATATGAAGGCAGGGGGGTGAACCATTCGTGAAGCACAGATTTTGAAGATTGCTTAGTCCAAAGTATTAAAAATAAATGTTCTTATTGCAAATTAAGGAGACTACTAAAAGAAAGACTAAGAAAAGGTTTGATTTGTAAAACTAGACCGTGTAGGAATAAACTTCATGTCAATTAACGAATATTATTATAATTTATATGTCATATATGGCTTCAGTAATTGTTCAAGATATGCAGTTAGCACTGAAATTCAAACTGTGTTTACATTTTCCAGGTTTTATGTATGTTTTGCTTACTTTGCTTTAATTTCTCTTTTCACTGCAGTTTTGGATCTTACCTGAGTTTTGCAGTTGCACTACATTTGAAAGAAAAGTATGGACTAGAGCCAGTCCATCTTTTTGTATCAGGGGCACATGCCCCAAATGTAAGTTGCAGAATCATTAACAATATGAAACAAAACAGTTCATCAGCTATCAAGAGTAAAAATAACATTTGAAAGTGTGGCCTGCAAATTACTTTTAATACAAAATGAGCATTGCTTCAGAATCCATGGAGAAAAGTTTTTTTCTTATAGGAAATTAATTCTGAGGTGGATGCAGAACTTTGCATTACACATTATTCACTGCTGCTAGCTAACCTTAGCCTCGGGAGAACAGTCTCCTTTAGCTAATGCTACCTTTTTTGAATACTGTGTTATTTACTATGGCCTTCGGCTTAAAACTAAAAAAGTAATCAAACCAAAATACTAAGTGACTCTCCCTTCTCTGTAACATGTGAAGTAACTGTCTTAACCTAGTCTTTCATAAACCACCTGCATCAGCCCTCAGTATATTTGTCCATTTATTTCTTTCCCTCCTTGTTCTTTGCTGGATTTTTAATCAGTTTCTTCTCAGGTTCTGCTGGTTCTGCTAGTCTTTCTCAGGAAAACAGCAGTGAAGTGACTTTTTCCCAGTCCTCCTGTCCTCAGTCAGCATTTGCTATTTCTGTTCTTCTGTTTCTGAGGCTTCTTAGCAATCCTTATATGAGCTGGTGATTCATGGAAGCCATTGTTATTCCTGCAAATTTCCATAATCAGTTGGTCTCTTCAGTCCTACATTAGTCAGGTTTATGTCCACTGCTAGGCTTTTCTTTCTCTTAAACAGATTATTTTATTAGGTGCATTTCAATAGTAAGAGTCAAACTTGAACAAAATTGAATTCATGGTTATATGTCTGTGGAAGTTTCAGACCTGAAAGATATTTGGCTCAGTCATAATTTGTAAATTTACTAACCCTTTCCAAGAAGTGTTCTTTGTGGATGTTAATCAGCTATTGTATTTTGGATATGAAGAATTATTGTATTTTTTACTAAAATGAAAAGATCATTTAAAGTATATTATATGCAACACCTGATTTGTTTTGTTTGGTACTGACAGTCTGAAGCAATTCTTCCTTACAAAACCATTTCTGTAGCTGATACAAACGATGAAGTATTTATTGATTATCTACAAACGGTAGGAGGAACTCCTTCTGAGCTTCTGCATAATGAAGACATTAGGAAACATCTTCTGCTTACTTTTAAAGGAGACTTTAAAGTGCTTCAGACATTTTCGTAAGTTTTACAATTTTGTATTATATTTGTATTTTACGTTTTTACTTGTGTGTGATCATGTCAGAGTTTTTCTTTCTACGTATTTTTTTCTCCTTTCTGTTGTAAAAAGATTATGAAACGGTAAACAGTTCTCTCCTTTGTGTGTTTTTCTACTTGTTCTCTAGTATTTAAGCCCTAAATGAAAACATTGCTTACACTATCAACCACTGCAATAGTGAACTAACTGTCACTGCAGTAGTGAACGTGTCATGGTAGAATTACAGTTCTAGTGAGGATCCAAAGTTAGCAGCCCCTAAAAGGGAATATTCTGTCATCTTTTATCGTTTTCTGAGGCTACTAATCTCAGCTGATCACTGATCTCAGTGGCTACTAATCTCAGGATCACTGCATTCAGCCTCCTGATCCAAGATCCCCTAATCTAAGCAGGAGCAAAGAGTCCCTGTGTTCTGGGCACCTTGAGAGCAACTGGCTTCTTCTGTCCTAACTGCTGACTCCACTGGATGTTACACAACAGCCAATGTGGCTGAGTGGTTAAGGTTTCTTACCTTGGCAAAGACAACGATACTCTTGGATGTGGGACCCATTTTGGTCTTAGGAACCTGACACTGAAAGGCCCTGAAACATTAGAACTTGAATATAAGCAGGTAACGTAATTGTTTATGGGAGGTGAGAATTTCTATTGCAGGCTGAAGCTCTTTTTCTCCCCTAACTATCGGGTCATTCTTTCTTTACAATTTTAGACCTAATTGCAGTAGGGCAAGGAGCTAAGAACCTTCCAGATGTGGTAATTTCTTCTGATGTTCTGCATAATCTAATTCCTGAAGTTTGTTAGATTTTGGAGGAGAACGAAAAAGTTATTTTGTATGTGGAAGCAAATTCCAAATATGGGCATCTTATTGAATGTTTTAGGACTACTTTTTATGTTCACAGTTTTGAGAAGGCAGAAATGGATATCCCCTTCTCTTGTGATATTACCTGCTTCAATGGGGGTGATGAGAAGCCATATGATTTACAAGGTACTTTTCTTAAATGGTTTTCCTCTTATACTTACACATTTTCCTGTTGAATTGCATCAGTTAGTTAATGAAGTTTTCTTGAGTCTTTTATCTCCTTCTTAAACAAAACAAATCAACAGAGCAGTCTCAATGTTGATATGGGATGTAAAATAATTGTTACATAATAATTTCAAAATAGTTATGTAAAATTATCGCAATAGTTGACATTTTTATGACATATCTTTTTTAGGTTGGCAAGAACTAACAAGTGGAGATACATCCTTTTATGAGCTTCCTGGAGGTCACTTTTATCTGCTGGAACCCTCTAATGAAATTTTCTTGGCAAAACACATAACAAGATGCATAGAAAATGCTGGTCTATGAGTATTTCCCTCACTTTTAATAGCAGAAGGTGTAATATTAGTCCACAGCACTTCATAATAAGTCATTATTTCAGTACATTGCACGCAGTTATGCCTAAGGGTTGTTCTGTTTGTCCTTTGTAATTCTTTAAAAGGGGGAGTTTTCCTGGGTTTTTCTGAAAATAAACATTGGCTTTGTCTTAAAAAAAAGGTTTCATCTTTTCCCTCTTCTCATCTTGCATGTGCACAAACTCTTCATTCCATAACCTCATTTGCAAAAAATTATAGCGATGTTATTTTACTTCTAGAGCTTGTTTGCCTGCTCCTGTAAAAATGCTAAATATAACGTAATACCCACAAAAATCCACAGTTCTTAGAGAAAGCTTAATTTATTAGGTTCAAATTTATTTAGAATAAGATACAATCTAAAAATAGAGTATGTATGTAAATACCCTTTACAGTCAGCTTATGCTTAAAAGATATTAGTCAGACTACACAGTAAGGAGTTAGTACTGCAGTGTTCTCAATGGAGTTAGTTCATTAGCTACCGAAGAGTTTATTATTAGTGGGAATTACTTTGAATATTCTAGATCCCATATTTTTCTACCATTGCTTTTGCTTTAGAGATATAGGCATTCATGGCATCCTCCTTTGACAAACCTGTAAAGGAAAGCAGGAGTCATTATCTTTCCTCGTTTGTCCTATAAACATGACTACATGATGTAAATTTAATTGGTGTAACACCTTTTTTCAGGTTCCATGCCTCCCATTTGGCTTTGCCTTTCAAATCTAACATTCCTGGACATTCTGCCAAAATAAATGCAAACGTTTGGTTATCATGCAGATTTACATAACATTAGCTTGATTTCATCAAGATGTGGAAGTAACTGTGAAGCATATATAGGAATACCAATATTAATATCTCCAACGGTAGCCTGTTTGTAGAATCCATAGAGTTCCTTCAGTTCTTCATCAGTTGGTCTCGTTTTTAATTTTTTTACATCTTCTGCAGCACCGTCAAAGTCAGCCTGATGAAAGAACAGAAAGTGTTGGTTTTCTTCTCAAGGGGTGTGCTTAAAACATGAGGCACAGGACACAGTAGCATCATCACATACTCTCAATCACTCCCGTGGGTTTAGTGGTAAGTCTAGGTGTTTGCCCATGAAAGAAGCTTAAAAAAACTGTACGCCATTAGAAAAGGAACTAGGCTTACATAGCTGATAGGGTCAGTACTGCTAAGATAAATGAACAGTTTTACATCTAAACACTTGGAACCATTACAGACTGTCTAGTGCCAGAATAGCTACAGATACACTTATGCAGGCAGCCTCCACAATTTACGTAGTGCATATGTCTTTCACCGCCACGCTGTGGGTACGAAGGTGAACTTTACACCCCAGCAGTAATCTCTGCTTGCATAGTGTTGATTCAAGTGGTGGAGCTTGAAAACCCTCTGAGGTGCACTGTCCACTTCACCCTTCATTTTCACTGCTCTGCTGACAGCACAGCAGGTGATCAACAGCTGGCACAGAGACATCTGACAGGGATGAGCAGCACTACTGCCAGGAACACCTTCCACACCCAACTCTGAAACACAGTGGAGCACAAGAGTTACCCCTTTCATCATCACGCATCACACATTCACATCAACCTGAGGCCATATAGACTTCAGAGTTCTGTCCCATGCTCAGGACATTTCAGAGAGAGAGAGATTTCCTACAAGATGTGCTATGACACACACACATATATATATGTATAAAAAAATGTAAAAAAAAAAAAATCTTAAAACTTGGGTCTTAAAATCAGCAACATATTCAACATCGGTTTCAGCATGTGTGCTGTGGCTCTGTTTAAATCACTGAGATCACATTACCTCAGAAGTCTGTACTGTGTTTTTTTTTTTTTTTTCCTAAATAAGAAAACCTAATGCATGTTTGTCTCCTTAATTGATGCCTTTCTCCTTGGCAAGCGACTGTGCTGGGTGGGTCAGGCGGTAGAAATAAGCAAGTATGAATGAAAGCTAGACTCACTATAGCATTCTGTATTTAAACTGAGAAAAACTACAAGAGAAAGGCTATTTCTGGTTTTAAATCTAAGAAGAAAAAATTTAAAAATATTTAATTAGGGAGTGATGGTCATGGATCTTTCTTCACAGAAAGGCCCCTTCATGGAATCATGAAACTATGTATTCACTGATGTAAGGAGACATCAGCTAGTGGTTGCATTAAGGCAGGAGTAGCAGGCAGGGTAAGGGCAGGTAGTTGAGTGCACTACAGCTTCCTGCACAGAAATCTGCCTACTCTCCCACCAAATAAGTCAGCTCTGTCTCCTGAGGTGGAATTCACTTTTTTTTTTTTAAATTTTGTTATGGAAGTTTAGTTTGGCTAGTGAGGTTCCCCAAACATAAACTTCTGAGGAATTTCTGATTTTTTTGCAAAATTTTCAATTGCCATTTGAAACCCACCAAGGGAAAGCACAAGTCTCCTAGGAATGAAAGTGCATGCCTCAAAATGTACATCTGTAACACCAGAGTTATAACAAGGAGCAGCAGGAAGAGAGGTACATTTTAAAGGGATGTTTTTAAAAAATCATAATATATGATTAAAAGGGTGTTCTAGCAAGGAATGCTCCCTGCAAAACAGCAATTAAAAATAAATCTAGAATATTCTTTAAACTGCAGCTATGAATTCACAGAAGATTACATGGGAAGGGTTCATGGTGATAATACACATTTCTAGCTCTGTCAGTTTGTAGCACCCTTAAAAAAGCAACAGAAGGAAAGGACAAAAATCCTGCGGCAATGAGGATGCTTTTTAACAAATAATCTTCCAACACAGTGAGAACCACAGTGTTTGCATAACTGACAAGCAGGAGTTTCTGGGATATTCCCACCAAGGCCTCCCAGAACCAAATGCCCAATAGTGAAGGCAGGAATATAGAGAACAGCTGGTGTGTTAGAACGGATAAACACTGTTTTAAGAAATGCTGCTGTTTGTTCTATTTTGAATGTAATGATCCTTCTGAGAATTAGCAAGATTCCAAGTGCAATTTGTCTGTTTAAGACTCTGAAGCTTGGTCATTTTATAGAGTATACTATTTGGCAGAGTTTCCGCAACAAATTCTAAATCAAATTACTTCCAAATTATATTCTTAAATCTAAAACTTTATAGTGATGCCCAAAAAAGCAGATAAAACTGTTTAGACAAAGTTTTATGCCTAGAACAGCAAGGTATTTATTGATTAACGGCCGGGCAGCCTGCCAGCTAGTGCTGGGAAAACAGGCTCCGAGTGAGTATTTTATACAGGTTTGGCAATGATTACAACATAGATTATAATATTCATAACAGGTGGAGTTAGGGGCGGAGATTGAGGCGTGGTTTCCATTTTGAGGAATATTATAGTGGGAGATCCTGTTTGCCTTCATCCTGGGGGTTGCTTTTTTAATCCTCATCCTCCCCTCACCTCAGGGACCTTTCGTTCTTTCTATTGTTTCTATGTTCTGTTCACTGAGGTTTCAAGAAAGCCTTGGCTTGGGGCTTGTAACACCTATTGAGATGTCACCTTGGCTCCTCTGGATGAGATTTATGGAACTGGGGTTCTTTGCCCAGTGTTTGTTGTGGTTCCTTTAAGGTCTGATGCCCTCAGCACAGGACAGAGTCTTCTTGTGCAAAATGCAGCTTACAAAATATACCTTAAGGCAAACTAAAAGTGTACAGGGAGGTAGGGGGCCTCTATGGTCCCACAGTAAAAGTGTCCCGATTAACCCTTCCTGCTTCAATAGACTGAAACCATGTACTAGTTACGCAGTTTGTTTCTGTTTTAATAAAAATAATTCTTAATATCACTAGAATGCAACTATACCACAGAATCACTGAAAAACATGAAGCGTTAAGTCCAACTTTTTGTGGCTGATTTCTTGTAAGAACTTGGAGAGCACTGCAAGACAAACACAGGATTTTTTTAGATTAAAAATCCAAAAGGCTTAGGATATGTTTATATGTTTTGTATATATGCTATACATAATTTAGATAAACAAAAATCGTGTGCCCTAGACTACATATAAAAGCTGAATTAATAATGTTCAAATGACCTTACAGCATCCCTTCTCAGCATTTTTCTTTTGCAATATTAATATTTGCTTTCATGAAAGCCTTGCAATCTTTATTTATCGTCTTATGCTGTATTGTCTCTTGTTCTCCTTCTGCTGAGTAAGTGTACCTGGAATTCCTACAACTACCTGAAATACTTCAGCAAGCTCAGATGTTAAGCTCACTTTGAATTTTTACCCAAGAATTGCCAAGGGCCGTAGAAAGTAAGTAAATTACACTCTTTCCTTTCAGAAGCAAAAATCAGAAAAGTGAACCCACATGTTTGAGGCCAGCAAGTCACAACAACACAAGGAGAGAATCTGGGGTTCGGGGCAGAAGTCTCCTGCCCTGTGCCTTAGGCACAGAGTGGGTGCCTTCAGCCTGGGCGCAGGGAGGGGACATCTCTGTAAGTAGAAGTGGAGCCTGAACTCAGTACCTGTGAAATTGCTCATATGACTTTTTATTTCACTATGTTCCTTGACAGACAGGTGGCTTATCCCTCCATGGAAATAAGCCTGCTCCACTTCGTGTTTATCTCAGGGCAGAAGCAAGGACATAGGCACATACTGCAGAGGAACTCACATGCTCTGAATTTACCTCCCAGACTACCTCTGAGTCACTCCAGTCATGCCACACTGCTGCACAGTTTCAGACACTGCAGCATTAGGATATAAAGGAGTTCTGTACTCGTGTAGCAAGACTGTAGTCTAATTACACAAAAATACGTCCTCCTATGCACTAACAACAGTATAAAAATAAATGTGATGACTCACCACACTTAAGATTTTTTTAAAATTGGTAAAATTTAATTAAAATTAGTATTTCATTCTGAAACCAAATACCAGTAATGTGACATTCTTGACTATACCTATCACTGACACCTCTTAATACTATCCATGCAAACAAAAGTAGCATTGATGCTCTTTAACTGTAAATTAAGAAGTGGTATCAGCAATAAAACATAACTGGGTTGCCACACATTATTTAAAGTTTAAATAAGTTACTACTGCATGTGAGCCTCTGGCAGCATTGACATACAAGTCAGCAGAAATCTTCCATGTAGCTTAAATTGTTATCTGATTCAAACTTCTGTTCTGGTTTTGGCTGGGATAGAGTTCATTTTCCTCCTAGTAGCTGGTACAGTGCTGTGTTTTGGATTCAGCATAAGAATAGTGCTGATAACACACTGATGTTTCGGTTGTTGCTGAGCAGTGCTTACACTGAGCCAAGGACTTGCAGTGCCTCATGCTCTGACAATAAGGAGGGGCACAAGGAGCTGGGAAGAGCATAGTTAGGACACCTAACCCAAACTGCCCAAAGAGATATTCCACACCACAGAGCATCATGCCCAGTATATAAACTGGGGGGACTGGCCAGGAGGGGCTGATTGGAGCTCAGGGATGGGCTTGGCATTTATCAGAGGGTGGTAAGCAATTGTGTTGAGCATTACTTGTTTCTCTTGGGTTTTATTGTGCATGCTCTCTCTCTCTCTTTTATTACTATTAACAAATTTTATGTATTATATTTAAATTAGTTTTAATTGCTAAACTAGTCTTATCTCAATCCATGAGTTTCTACTTCCCCCCCCAATTCTCCTCCCCATTCCACTGTGGGGGAAAGGGGAGAAAGTGGCTGCATGGTACTTATTTACTGGCTGGGGTTGAACCACTACTTCAGAGTAAGAATGAAGCAGAAGCACTGTTAGATTGTACAAGACGAAAGACAAAAAAAAAATAAATCAAGGAACCCATCAGGTTAATAACCCTATCTACATATAGTTTTATTCTATATGCATCTATAGGCACATATCGCAAGATACTGTTAAAAATATGCAAACGCATATCTTGCGGAGCAAGAAACGTGCAGAAATAAATATAAATACTAAACATTTTGTTTTTCATCCCCCTCTAGCCAATCGTTGTGCACAGACTGTTGCTTGGGATTTGCCTGCTTACACAACATGCTTATGAGCAGCCTATAAAAATATAATTTCCTTTTAATCATGTACCAATAAAATTCCTTTCACTCCTCAAATTAAAAGCATAAAAATATCTACAGACAAACATACACATACCTACTAGGGATAAATGCACAAATCATCAGACTATTATCACATACTCCCTTTTTGCAAAGGAAAAAGCATTCTTCATTTACAGCTGAATATTTGACCAGTTTGCAAAACATAAATATTTTAAGCCTCCCTAATGAAAACATTATTCAGTTGTCCTCACTTCAGTATAGCTTGATTCAATAAATTTTTAACGATAGGGATAGTAGCTGTCAACCAAACCTATGTGGATAGAAAACCTCTATGTCTAATACAGAATGTGTAAAGATATTGCAGTATTTCAACCACTGATTTTTATGTGAAAGTGTAACTGTATACCACAATGGAACAGCATATCATACTGAACTCACCTCTTTCTAATCGTGATTTATGGCTCATTGCTCAATCATAAGGCTAATAAATTCATTTTCTAAAATGAACTCAAGGCAGAATAAAACAAACTATAATTTCGGTGATCATTAATTAAACAAAGGTGGTGTTATGTTTGGGATTTGGCAGTTCTGACCCACTGGAGAAATAGTTTTCTTCTTCTTAGCTGTAACACACCACAATGAAACCTCTGTGCTATTCAACATAATTGCAGCTCAGAAGAAAATTGCTGAGCTATTGGCAACGCACTCCCTGCATCTAGGTCAGAGCATTGTGTTGTTCACCCTCTGCAAACTAACCAAGCTGAGAGAGACATTATAATGAGACCGGGATAAAAGGGCTTGCAAATCTTGAAGTGAAAGGGATAATAGGAAAGCCTAACAAAAAAACGCAGCCTAATCCATCACGGCATGGGCAAGACAAGGGAAGTATTCATAGTTTCTCGAAAATGTAGGAGGCTAAACGCCAGCAATGAAGATAATTTCCCCAAGAACTATTTAAAGCCATAGTCAGAGAGAAGGTGGAAGGAAGCTCTCTCTAGCCAGAAGGTAGGAAGTACCAGCTTTCCTACAAAGACATAAGCCCATCAAAATGTACCACTTCAAAGATGCACACAACCTAAAAAAATACACATAACTCACATAAAAGCTATTCATGCTTCACAAATGCACATATACCACTGCCTCAGTGTTAGAAGTTTCCCTCCTCTTTTTAGAGTTCTACATAACTAGTTAGATCCTAAAATTATAAGTATTTACCTGCCTTTCAACACCTTACTCAGTCCTGACAAACTCAAATGGACATACCAAGAAAAAATAATTCACGCATGCTCTAAACAGGTAATGCTCAAAAAAATTATATGACCTATGAATAATAAAAAATAACCAGCATGTTTCTCACCCTTCACTTGTAGGAAAGTAATGCGTTATTTAACCTCCATGGGTTTAGGCAAATTTCCCTTGCTGCAAGGTAACCTCGATTTTGCAGTACTAATCCTTATGCTGAAGAAATACCGCAGTCTCCAGCACGGCATTGCACGGATGGACGGCGCATCCCTTCCCTCTCCTCTCCTCGCGTCTCTGTCTCACCAGACGCAGAAGTGCTTACCTGCAGAGTCATGATGCTGCGAGGATGGATGCCCGAGGAGCGGACTCGTTCCTTGCGCGGCGGGGACGCGGCGCCTCTGCCTGCGGCTCCCGCGGGGCGGGCGCGCTGGCGCTGGGATGGTCCCAGTGACCTCAGCTCTCGGCTGAGGCACGACACAGGCTGGCTCCCGCTGAGCCTCCCGGGCCCTGCCGGCACGGCGGAGCGGCTGCGAACCCCGGGCAAGGGGCGGTGGGGGCAGCGAATATTAAGCCCACAGTCGTTTCCTAGGAAAGCCTGAGCTCGTTTCCGTGCAACTGAGGATTAGGCCACCAGGCTCGGAGAGCAGCGAGGCAGCAGGATTCCCAAGCCACTTGTTTGAAAAAGAAATTTCTTGCGTGACTTGAACGGCAACCAGTCGAGTTATTGCTGCTGGTCCCTCTGCTTCAGCCCCTGCCCACGCCCAGCCCGCCCTGGGATCTCGCATTGTCCAGCTGCAGCTCTGGAAAATGTGCAGGTCATCCCGAGAATAGATACCTCACAAAAACAGCTACACACACAAAATACCTTGTGAACGTTGGGTTTTAATTTATTCTACTAAATACAGAAAAAAAGAATATTAAATTGATAAACTAGCCTACAACTGGAACCATTGAAGGAAAAAAAAATCCATCCCTGGTTATCTATTCTATCCATTAATAAATTATTTATATTTGTGCTTCTCTACATTTATGTTCTTCACTCCCTGAGCATAGTTTGATTACAATACTATGTGCTTCTGCATTTTTTTAACCCACTAACTTCCATAAAAACGTGAAAAAGAGTGCTTCCCCTCAGACTAAGTTTACGTTAAATTAAGCAAGGATTTAACAAGAAAAAAAAAAAAAAGCACGTAAATTTCAGTAAATACAAGACTTTAAATAAATTTGAAAACAACTCTGAAGCAGCGAAGCCCTTAATCCTGCTGGAGAAGCTCTGCTCTTTCAGACCCAAGAGGCTGCGTGTAACCTCACCGTGCACTGAGGTGAATGTACAAACTGAATGTGTTTGTCGAGATTTGTTAATGGCTCGGGGCAGACTGTGGGAAACACTGAACGTAACCAGTCATCTTAACTGTCATCTTAATTACAGAACGTAATGACGTAACTTGTCATCTTAATTACAGAATGCAGTGTACGCGCACAGTATGCCGCATTACTGCACAGCAGCGAGGTTGCTATGAAGCCCCTATGAAGCACCCGGTGACTTGGCCACGACGCTGCTAGCTGACGTAAGACAAAGCACATTTCCCGTCGCCTATGCGCCCATTTTCGGGAGCGTTCGAAGCGGGAGCGCCAGTGCTAAAGCTGGGCTGAGACCCGCCAGGCGCAGGCTCCCGGCACCAGTGTTTGAGCGCTGCCTTCCACCAGCGCAGCGCGCTGTTTCCCCGTGTGGCACCGACCGCAGCCCGGGCACGGGGCGGCCTCCCGGGGCGCCTGCCCGCTCGCACTGCCCGCCGAGCCGCCCCAGCCGGGACCAAGACCCACCGCCTCCGCCCTGCACTCGCCGCCCGCGGGGCATTTCTCGGCCGCCCGAGCGCCCCCGCCCGTCCCTGCGGCTGCCGCGCTGCTCCTCTCGGCCTGACGAGGCCCGAGGGCGGGAGGAGCCGGCGGGGGATGGGGGGGGGGGGGGGGGGGGGGGGGGGGGGGGGGGGGGGCGGGGACACGGGCGGAGCAGGCCGAGCTGCGGCGGCGGCAGCAGCAGCGTGAGCGCGGAGCGGGGCCCGGGAGGCTCAGCCGAGGTAGGGCGGGCTCTGCGCGGGGCAGTGCGGGCCGGGCCCCGCGGGCGGGCAGCGGAGACCGCCCTGCTCCAGCGGCCGCGGCGTTTGCGCGGGGCCCGGCCCGGCCCGGCGGCGCTCGGCGGCCCGGGGAGCCTGCGCTCGGTCCCGGCGGCGGGTCCGAGGGGACGGCTGGAGCCCCCGCCCCAGGGACCCACCGGCGCCTGCAGCGCGTCCAGACGGGCCGTGCTCTGACCCGCGTTTGTCCTTGTCCAGAGCAGGAGGCTCCCGCGGAGCGCAGCGGAAGGGGCTGCAGAGGGTTCCTGGCGGCGGTGAACGTGGGCGGCGCTGCTCCCGTTCTCCCTTCCGCAGGAAGCGAGGGGGTCGTGGCAGCGGTGCGAGGTGGAGGAGCCCAGTGTTTCTGGTTTTTTCCCTCATTCCTGTACGCTTGTTTTCCTCAGCAGTACCCATTTTAGAAAGAAAACGAATCTTTCAATTGGGAAATCCTTCTTGTTTTGCTCCTTTTTCATACACGAGTCCGTTGCTGACTTTGCCTGATACCCCCTGTAAAAGGTCATCAGAGCATCCCCAATTAAAAGCTTTTAAAAGATATAACCCAGTGCTTTTTTTTTTTTTTAAGTTGTCATAAGCTTCCATTTCTAACTCGGTCATATTTTAGATTTCTAGTGGTCGTTTCCATTCTTTAGTTGTTTCCACTTTTTCGTTGTTGCCACTATGATGATGAGCAAAGCGGATTAGATAACTGCATGAATGGTAGGTCCATAAAGGACTAATAGGATAAGCTGACAGATCTTCTTACATCCCAGATGCAACCATTCTGTGTGTTGGGGACCTGAGGAGAATGGCAGCCTGTCCTTCCCTAACAGTTTTCCAGTTCCTGCTGCTGGAGACACAGCAGAGCTGGATGGGCCATTGCTGGCATGGCCCAGGGAATTTCATAGGGTTCACAGCAAAAATAAGAGTCTGAGGCAGATTTCTGTCATGCCTTCCAAATGCAGAAAAACACAAAGGCGTGAAAACTGAAAAGACAAATTTCTAAAAGTCTTAAATAAATTTAGTAACTTAGAGCTTTTTTTTGTGATTCAGCCTTTTTTTTTTCCCCCCATGCCATGAGGGACAATGGAGCTGTGCAACAGCAAAAATGGAGTGGTCCTTCAACCCATGACTCTGGGGGTGGGGTTGTTTGGTTGGGGGGTTTTTTGTTTGTTTTTTACATCTGTAATACCTCCATCTGCTTTTCTTCATCGTCTGAAGGGTCTTATCACTGCCGTTGCCTTGCTGTCCAGTCTAGTTTTTTTATTATTTATAAACAAAAAAAAGACACAGCACTTGTCTTGTAGAAGATGTGTGAAGGATTAGCACTGAGCTACTCTGAGGAGGATGACGCCTGCCAATATCACTTTGACATAGGATATTTGACATTTCTGCATTCCCAAAAGAGGCTTGTGGTAATGATGTCCACAGCAAACAGTGCAGTATTTGAACTAATGTCTATCTCCTTCTTCCCTAGGGTGACAAAACACGGAAGAACCTCAGGATGTCTGTAATTCAGCAAGGGACGGCAACACTTCGTAAAGCAAAGAAAATCACTGTAAAAACGTGTCTAGATAACCCCTTTGTTTTTCAGTGGAAAACCATAGATGGAAAAGATATGCATTTTATACTACAGACCTTAGAAGAAAGGATTAAACATATTGGACTTAAAAAGATTGAGAGTCCAAGGAAGAAAAAACGTTCCCTTACAAAAAAACAAGTGGAAAGAAAGTGCGATACTGGCACCAACGAGCTCCCTAAAGAGGAGGAAACAGAAAGCCATCAACAAAAAACAGGGTGGACTGACATAAGTATCAGAAGACAGCTTGCTATTGGAGTTAATGAAGTTACAAAAGCATTGGAAAAAAATGAACTGCTTCTCTTGCTGGTGTGCAAGTCTGCAAAGCCTGCCATGATCACATCGCATCTCATTGAGCTGAGCGCAAGTCGAGCCACACCAGCAGGCCAAGTGCCCCGGCTCAGTGAAACAGTTGCGCCACTTCTCGGCTTAACATCCATTTTAGCACTAGGCTTCAAAAAGCAGTCTGATAAATTTACTGAAACGATAGAAGCAATAATTCCAAAGATACCAGCACTGCAAGTGCCGTGGTTTCAGGGCAGAGCTGAAGAATCTGTGGCTTATGCAGATACAGATTCTTCAGAAAATGAGGAACCTGATGAGCTTGCAGATGCACGGGGGGATGAGCTCACAAGCCAGAAGCGGAAGCGTACAGAAAGCAATCAGCCTGATCTTTCAAATGTAATTTTGCAGCCTTTGAAAATCAAGAAACTTGTCCCAAATCCCAATAAGATAAAGAAACCACCTCGCAAAAAGAAAAAGCTTTTTCAGCATAACTGATTGTAGTTTGGTTCAGTTAATATGATTTTTTACATGCAGAATAGAGTACAATTCTAACTGAATAATATTTTTAGGCTTTACAGTGTAAAGCTCTTGAATACAAGGTGAATTCTGTGTTGCATTCAGTTGAGGTACTTTCTGCTTTAACAAAGAATATTGCTCAGACTTAAGTGTCAGTCTTTACCTGAGGGTATTTCATTTGTAGTTGGAGATCAGAGAGTTCAAGTCGGTAATGAACATGCCAAAGTAATTTTAAGAGATAATTTATACATCGCTGGAATTAATGCAAGCATTAAATGAACTTTGTATCTTTACACAGATGAACATGGTTTAAGCAAAACAGATTTAAGTGTAATTACTCAAACAAATCAATACGAAAAGTGAAAGTTTATTTAAACAAAGGTCCATGCCAGTATAAGTCTTTTAAAGCTGGTTTCAAGTAAACAGCTGTAACAGCACAGGAGGACTTCCCTTTTGAACTCTATTATAGTTTTTTCTGCTGAACAATAAACTTGTTTTGGTCATGAATGTATGCAGACTTGGGTTTTACCTGGTACCTGATGTATGGTATGCTGGAGGAAAAGCTTTATTTTCAAATACAAAACACAACCAAATTACTACTGCTGCAGTATGAAAAAAAACCCACCTTCCATTATTAACACACATCCTGTAAGAAAATGCAAATCTAAACTCAATTAGATTTCTAAATGAAGTCTAGAATTATTTCCCAGGAAACTGAGATAAGCCATATACTGTTGTATATAAAGTAGATGTATATAAACTGCTACAAGACTGAAAACATACCATGTAACTTTTGAGTTTCCTTTAGTTTTACGGGGACTATGAAGTTTCCTAATGAGACAGTTGTATTATAGTAAGGAAGGGGAATATTGCTGCAATTCAGACAATCAACAGCCTAGGAATTTATTTGTAGAAGAAAGCATAAAATACCTTAACTAAGTTACTTCGTAGTTCCTTAAAGGTGGAATTTACACATAGTTTTCAGAGATTTGCTGATTCCAAACTTCCAGTGTCATCCGATAGCACATCTGTCTTTTAGATTTATTTAGAAATTACTTAAGTTCAGGATACCAACTACAAAGGCAGGCAACAGCAATGATTCTGTAGTCATGATGCTCCTTGAAGTTTAAACAAAACATTATGCTAAAATTTTTGTCCTTGTCTGAGGGTGGCAAGAAGAGGCAAGGTTTATTTTTCTTGCTTCGTAGTCCTTCATACATGTCCTTTGTTCTGGGTTTCTGGATGCATAAAACTTTGAAGGCATGCTAGCACTAGTGTATTTCATTCCCAGGCTGTCTAACCATAACATAAAAGTCTTAGCATTTACACAGAGCACAAGGATTAGCTTTGGTAAAGAACATAAGCACAGCAATCATCTTTCAAGCACTTTGCTGCCTGCCTAGATCTCTCTCTCTCTTCAGGGATTTGTGCCCCCTGTGAAGATAGGAAGTTACTTTGGGAAAGAAATTATAGATGTTTAAAAAGGCAGTGGGAAGGGTGGTGCAGCAAGCCTTACATTTCCCAATTTTTGTACAAACACCTCTTGGGTTTAGAGGAGTCTTATCTTCATAGCAAGCCTAATGCACAGGTTGGAAACACCTGTTTGGAAACAACAGAAGAGCCTCTCCTATTGAGCTGCTGACAGTGACACCCACACAGATATTCATCTGTTGTTAAGGACCTGCTTAGGAAGTGGAAGTGAGTTGAGATAATTTTCACCTCCCAAGTAACTGTCTTACTCTGTGGGTGTAGGCTGAGACACCTTCAAGATTCATGTCCTCTTGATGCTGTGATACTTCAGCAAAGCACTCGAGGTGAAGAGCACTCAACAGGGACAGAAGAGACCATGCTGGATTGCACAGCTGTTAGGTAACACGCACAGGTTCATGAACAGAACTCTCCAGGAACCGCCCCAGCACTCAGGCTCAGCTGCCCACTTCCCTCAGGCTCTCTGATCGACAAATTTTCTCTCAGCTATAGTGCTGCACAGCTTCTACAGGAGCATATCTCTGCCCTCTTTCCCCTCAGTTAACATGGAAAGTGAGCCAGAAAATGAGACAGAAGTTTACCCCTTGGGTTCAGAAGCAAATGGCACTATTTTACTAGAACAGAGCAAAAGAGTGGCCACGCTCCTTTCTTCATGTGCCCTAACCTGTAGATTTGCCTGCAGGAAACCCAGGTTCAAGTCTATCTTCTGCCAGGACATAATTGGTCCCATCACGGCCTCAATTTTACAAACAACAGTACTGGGGAGGATTTGCCTTTTCTGATTCCACAGCAGAGAGGAGAAAAGAAAACACCTGCCTAACATCTCTTCCACATGCATTTTTTTGAGGGGATGCAAGGCAGAGAACATGAGTGTATCTTCCACCTGGCATTCACCACCACCCATCCAGATTAGGGAGTGCTGGGCTGTGACTGTTTCTTAGCAAGGAGGTACCTTATAGATGAGGACAGAGCTGTGCCCTGCTGTCCCACCTCACATTAGGCAGCCCTGAGCGAGGATTGACAAGGCTTTGCCCTTAGAACTGAAGCAGCCCACACTGAGCCCCTTGGTGAACCTCCTCCTCATCCCAGAGGGCTCCAATGACAATGCCCTGCCAGGGGGGCACCTTCATGCCTTTTGGGAGTTAAAAACTTAGGTCTTCGATGGAGTTGAGATTAAATTCTTCTTGTTATCTCAGATACCACTACCATCAGTTCCATTTTCAGGCACTTAATTCTCCTCAGGCCTCACAAAGAGAGTCCAAACTTCCTCTGCACCATCTGTTATGGCTGCTACTAGCAGACAGATATCAGAGTGGCCAGAGATGTAAAGCCCAACTGCACCATTAGATCTCCTTTGAAGTCTTTAAATTCATGAGGTCCCAAGCTGGTGCACACCCAGGCGTCAGACAAACCACATTCAGTCCCTTCCTTTGTTTGAAGGAGGTCGGATGCTTTAATCACAGAGCTATAATGCAATAAGGGAAAGTATCACTGTTTCTAGGGCAGAGTCCTCTCACCACAATTCAACAAGAAAAAGAAACCAAAACACAAACCATTCACACATTGGAAAAGGAGCAGGAAGAAAGAAAAACCCCATTTGCTACAAGGAGGTTGGTAGGGCTAGCAGTTATGAAGAACAGACAAATTTATCTTCATGTACAGAATTAAACTTTCAGCAAAATCTGCTGTCAGAATTACAGGCATGTTTAAAAGGAAAGAGACATTTGCATTTCATGAGATATTCAAGTCACATTCAAAAGATGCTCACAGCACAGAGGCTTCACTACCACAATTTGGCACTTTCAGCTAGAACAGTTTCTTAATGCAGATTTTCTCAGTGCTCCCATTACTGCAGCATCCATGAGCTGAAAGAACTGCTATCATACCTAGCTATGACGCTACACTGGAATGCATATAAAGTGCTTCAGAAGCCACTCCCGTTGCTGAGCATTCATGAGGGAATTAAAACAGCTCCACCCAACAACAAAGACCAGCCCTCCTACATTTCAGGAAGTGCAGTACAGAGACTTCCAAGGACTGAGGGCAGAGCATTTTCTGCTTACCAGCCACATAGATAGCAAAACTTCTTGTTCCAAATTCAGGATAAAAACACTACCAGGAACAATTTATGAATACATATTTACACAAGATAGTTTTCATTCGAATTACAGACTTCATAGGAAATCAAAGTAGACAAAGGAGTATGTGCAATTTCGCAGAAGCGTTGAAAACATTCAAACTATAAACATCCTGATAGCACTACTAAAATTCTTAGTTTTACACACAGGCTGATGTTATTCTACTGAGGAAAAACTAAGGTTTTGTGCCACAACTGTAAATTAAGTACAGTAATGTATTATCATTCCGGCAACATAGATAACACCTGCACTGAACAGTGCGATACTGTTAAATCAATCCACTGATCTATTGAAGATCAAAGTACAAATCTGTATTTTTATTGATTTGGCAGCGTTGCTTACGGAGAAACAAATGCACTAGTTAAACCAGTACATTGTCATACTGCTCCAGTTACAAAAACATCCAGGACTTTCAGAGAGCTACAAACTTATCGTACTTCTTGATTTTCCTCAAATGATGATATCCACGTGAAGTAAATAAGCAAAGATACTCGAATTTGTATCCTTCATTCTGTTACAATGACAAACATACACCACCACTTAATAAATAGAAATGCAGCAGTTCATCCACATAATAGCAAATATTTTTGTACCCTAATCCACCACTGAAGTTCAGTTTGTACAAAACAGTCTTTTCTACAGAGTGGAAAAAAATACCTTCTTCTCATCAAGGTGCAAGCTAAGCTTTGAAACTTAAATGAATGTGCTTTTTATTTTTTTCATGGACAATAGAAGAGTTTCATGGGCCTTCTGATCTATCTGAAAATGCATAAATTTGGTCTCATGTGGATGTTTTCACTGTTCAGATTTAATGGACTATTTCAGTATCACCGACGTTGTGCTTTTACTCCTCTTGAACAATACCATTCCAAGAGTTATGGAGATCAAATTAACTCAAAACGATGACCTCAGAGTTCTAGAAACATGAGTGTCCTCATTGTAATACAAGACCAACCTAAAGGAAGAAGAAAAATTTAGCATTTTAGTTCAAGTATGGCAATAAATCTAAACATCAATAGTTTTTTGCACCTCAATTATGGATCATAAATAGGGCCAATTAAAAAAGTTATTTTAAAACTTCTGCCCATTTCTGGCCAGCGTAGATTACTGTACAATTACACCTAACAGAATTCAGAAACTTTTTTTCTCCCTTACCTTTTCGGATTCCATGCCTGGACACCTCCAGTTGTACAAATAATACTGCAAATTTCCATCTCCAATCCCAAACTTGAGTTTTTCCAGGAATGTTTTGTTTTCCATTAAGTCTAGTGCATTGAACACATCAAATCCTTTCTGGCAACAGCAAAACATTTTTAAAATTTTACTTTTTAAAGTTTCAATTGACACTTTACACAGTGGCATACAGTATCCAAGAGACTAGGCTAATTAAAAGGAAAAAAAGACAATTAAGTAAATCTTGTCTTTTAATTAGGTACACACACAAAGACATATTCCTAATAAAAACTGAAGTATAATGCACAGCTTTTCTTGAAGATTATCTCCAAGGGGGTACAAATT